CTGACCCAAACCACCTCCCCATAAGTCATGTACTCTCTTGCAATTCACCTTACACTTTCCCAAAGTAACTGCTGCTTTTTTTCAACTCAAGGGTGTTAATCTTTCTTACTGCTTCCTTTCAGACTTTCCCATCATCTCTATCTATTCCATGTAAGTCTGAGCTCTGTAGAGGTTCTGGTGTATGTATTTGGTTTCCTTACTATCCTTTATCACAATCCCACCCAAGGTACCTTGTGAGTGTGTGGAGGTCCCAGCTTGTCCCACTGATGGGTCTTTGGGAGCTCTGCATCCTTAGCAGCTACCTGCTGCAAAGAGCCCCACATGGATGTGGCAGTCCCAGAGACCTCTGACCATCCTTCAAGAGAAAACCTTTTCTGTAATCATACAGAAGGTGTTTGGGTGCTTAGCCAGGAAGGATGCAGTGACCTAAGCAGGACTGTACAAGCAAGGTCTCTATCCTGCTGTAGCCTCACGAGCTGCATGTTTCTCTTTGGTTTCCTTTGTCTATCTGAATTTTGCTGTGTGTTGTGATGTGTATGAAGAGAGAAACCATTTGCGTGTCCCTATAATTAGTGAGGGTTGAGAGAATGAGAGGGCCCCAAGCAATGTGATGTGTTCGGTGGGACTGATAGGGCCCTCCCAGTCTGATTCCCCAAAAGTCCTGTGCATGTGGCCTTTTCCTCTAGGCTTCTCTGGAATGATGCAAACACCAGTCTACCAGCCCATGCCTCCAATGATGGGGATGCCAGCTGCCTCAGCCATGATGCCAGGGGCTGGTGGGATTGCCCCTATGCCAGGTAATCACTATTTCTTTTTAACTCTACAAAGAAGGAGGATGAAAAGGTGGGCGTCCTCATGAAGCCTGTACATTTGCATGTCAGGCAGAGTGCATGGTGAGCACTCAGCTCCATGCTGTTGCTCAGGCACCATGGAGAACAATTGCTTGGGGGTATCTGCAGAGATGTATGTCTCCCACAGCCATGTACGTGCCCCAGCCTGTGGTGCCCTCTGTAGACCCCAGTCAGCTGGCAGCACAACAGCAAGCCTTCATCAACCAGCAAGCCATGCTCATGGTGAGTGGAAGGGATTGGGTGGGAGAGGCTCCAGAACAGAAGGAGAATGCACTGGTGTACGTGCTGTAAAGAGGCTAGCCATTCTCCCCTTCTGGCTTAGGCTTGCTCTATAGCTCTGGGGTTTGGTATAGAAAGTTAGATTTTGGTATATAACATTGGGGTTATTTAAGATTGCAAAACTAGGGGTTCCCTTTTAGTTACTGTCTGTGGGGACAACGAGGTGCTATAGGTGAATGAGTAGCAGCAACAGGATCAGTAAGTCCCAAATGTTTTTAAAATGGGATTTACAAGAGGTGCAGAACTGAAGTGTTCTGCTTTCTGCACAAAGCCTTCTGAGTGCGTGGATGTCCCAGGCTATCTGTGTGGTCAGGATCTGTGTGTACCTGACCCTGGGCAAGGCCTGCTTTGTTCATAATATTTGGGATATTTGCAGTGGATGAAGTAGGCATTCTGTGACTACTAATCAAAAGTAGGACAGCCTGGCTGATGGTTGGTGTTTTTGTGTAGCCTAGAGCTCATGGTTGCTGCAATTCCTTCCTCCAGGCTCAGCAGATGACCCTTCAAGCCATGACCCTTTCCCAGCAACAGCAGCAGCAGCAGCAGCAGCGACAGCAGTGGAGGCAACAGCCTCCTGAGAGCTCAAGGCCAAGAGCCTCAAGCCCACCACGAAGCCAAGCCCCAGCCCCAGCCCCAGCCACTTCCCCCAAACCCAAGATATCTCCCAGCAACCGAGATGTGACACCACCACCGAAGGCTCCAGAACCACCAGTTCAGGCAGAAAGACCAGTAAGAGAAACAAGCAGTGGGTTTAGATGTCACATTTTGCATTTATTTTGCTTCCCTTTCCAGTCTGGCATTGATTTGGCAGAGAAGAGAGCTGAGAGTTTTTGCTTTTAAAGCTTCACTTGCTGAATCTTTAAGAGACAGTGTCAGAAATGGTTACACTTAGGTCTGTGGAGTTTTGGCTGCAGTGCATTCACTGCTGATCTCAGTTTCAGTGGGGTCCATATGAAAATTCATCATTTTTCATTCTTTATCTTTCAGCAAGTTGTCTTGGGCTGTAACATACCCCTCTTTCTCTGAACTGGGTTGATGATTCCTTGGGTCAGAAACTGACTTTCTGGGACACTTCCAGACTAGGGCAAGTTTTGGATCAGAGTCCAAACCTATCTAGAGAAGATCACTGCTGATTTTAGGGGAACTATGGAGGTATGCTGGCTGGTACTAACTATATTGTGAACTGCCTGCAGGTTTATGACTCCAGCAGTGAAGATGATGACTATCCTCGGGAAACTTTCCAGCAGAAGAGAGCTTTTTTTCAGAGGATGGGTGAGTGTTGACCACTTTGGGAATTTTACTTATCGTAACACCCTGTTCTGCAGCCTACCAGGTGCAGCAGCTGTGTTGGGCATCCAAGGCCAGGCTGAGTGGGGTCATGGGCAGCCCCATCTCTTGTTACAGGAGTTGAAACCATGCCATTAATGCTAAGCTTTGGCTACGAGATTAATAAGCCTCTTTCTATGTAGGAGAGCAAAAGATCCTAGTGAAGAAAGTCAGGGCGCCTTCCAAAACCTGGACTCCTCCAGCAAATCCTCAGCCAAAGGAGATGGAAGAGAAGAAAAAAGAACAGGAGAAGGAAAAGAACAAGACAGAAGAGAAGCCCAGCCCTAAAACAGAGGCAGGTAAGGTGATACTGAGTGGAGACCCAGGCAGGCTGAGAAGCAGGAACTTTCTAGGAGTGGGTGTCAGCCCAGGATATACCCAGAAGAAGAGAGATTCTGGCTCTTCTGGGAGTCTTGGCAGCAGAGGAGAAAGACCTGTGCTTTGGGAAGTGCGATCCTAAAGCAGGGCTGGGAAAGGCCATGAATGGTCAGCCCAGGGGTGAAAGAGTGGGAGATTCAAATGAGATAAAGGGATTTTTCCCGTGCTTTTGTTGGTCTGTCAGTTAAAGCTCTCACTCCCAACAGTTCCTGCTGCCCCTTTGCCACCTCCTGAGCCAAAGCCGAAGAAACAGACACCAAAAGCAAGGAAGGAACCACCAGTAGTGAAACCTTCAGCCCCTGAGTCTCGACCTGAACCAAGCCGGGAGATCCGTAACATCATCAAAATGTACCAGAGCAGGCCAGCCCCCGAGCCCCAGCCTATTGAGCCTGCTAGGTGAGACAACGGGAGCCACCCAGGATGAAAGGGACCATATCCCAGCACTGCCAGATGGCTCCACTGCAGTGACAACCCTGCTGCAGCTCTAGAAATTCCCTTTTGTTCTGTTCCCTTTGCCTTGTAGGAGAGTGTCCAAGCCATTTATGAAGAGGAATGACCCCAAAGATGAGGCTTTGGCCAAGCTGGGGATGATGAATCTCAATTCTCCCAAATCAGTGAGTGCTTTCCTCCATGATCACCCCAGCAGAGAGAGCCTTTGTATCCAATCTCCAGCAGGCTGAGTGTGGTATGGTAGCAGCCAGTTGATTTCTTACTGCACAAATAGTTATCTGTGAACTCATATTCCACAGTGCTGTCCATCTCAGGTTCCAACCTGTAACATCCATTGAGTTCCTGGAGAACAGGCTCTGGTGCAGTAAGTTCTGAACCAGAATGTTTAGGACTGATTTGGAAGCAACAATTCACATTCCCCATATTTGACCCCATGATCTTGGCCTATCAATGTCTTTTTTCCTTTTCCCAGCTGGAGGCTCACATCTCAAATACTCATTTCTCTGTACCTCTGTTTGCCTAATCTTAATCTATTTGTAGATAGTGTGCTGATTTAAAGGTTCTGGTATCCCTGCTCCAACAGATGCTGCTCCCAGGGCTGGGCTGCTACCCTGGGTATTATTTCTAACAGCAGCATACAGTGATGCAGAGAGTGACTGTCAAATGGTTTTGCTTTCCTGTAGCCACCCCCACTGCCTCAAGAGAAGAAGCCCAAAGGGACACCTCCACCCACCAAGCCCAAGCCAGGATCAACTTCCAGCTCTATCAAGGAGAAACAGATACCTCTGCTGTCCATCTTCAGGGAGCCATCAAGTACCCCACCAGATTCCCCAGCCCCTCCTGTTCTCCCACCTTTGCCCTCTTCTTTCCCTCCTGGGAATCAAGGCTTGCAGGAAGTCGCATCAAAGGGTGAGTGTTGACATCACCCAACTGGGATTTGGTAGCAGATAATGAGGGCAGATTCAGCCCAATGGCCTGGGAGAGTCACAGGATGAGCTGTCAGTTGCCAGCTGATCAAAGGCTGAACAGTCACAAACTACAGTGACAGTCAAACTATAGACTGTCACTATAGTTTGAGTCTGGTCCTGCACTTCAAGGCCCTCCCCAGCTCTAACGCTTCCCAGTGCAGTGCAGGATGTCAGGTGTTCATGACAAAGGAAAGAAGGGCTGGATGAAAAGTGGACCTAAAAACAGAAGGGACCTTTGGATTACAGCTCAATCAAGGTCCAGTCCATAAGATATTTTATTGCCTACTTGAAGCATAGTTCCTTTATCAAAGCTGCAAGTAAATGGCTGGACTTTAGACAAGGGAGGAATGGGAAATTAGGTGTTTACATTCTAGAGCCTCTGGAGAGCCCTTTAAGACAGGCTGAGGAATGAGGAAATGTTATTTGGGGCGCATACAAAGTGTTCCAAGCACAAAATGCTCATCAGCATCACATTTTATAATGTGCAAAGAACAGTCAACCCAAGCACATTACTGGACTCCAATCTACAGCAGCTTCCCTGTTATAAAAGAACTTTCCTGTTTCCTGCTCAATTTGTTTTAAAAGATGAACATTCAATAAATCCTGTGAAAGCAATTATAGGCAACAGGGTTAGCCTGAAAATTCACATGTTCTTCTGAATAGGGATAAAGAAAACAGCGGAATATATTCTATATTTCTTGTTCATCTATGAACTGAAGTTTCAAAGTTGTGACTGCTTAAATGGAGACATTCCTAATGTCATAGAGAAATGCCTTTGCATAGTTGCCTTCCAACCATGTCTAACTTTAATAGATTTCCTGCAGAGAGAAAATCCAGTGTAAGTACTGCTGCCTTGTACTAGAATTTTACAGCCTGCTGGCTCAGGAGAGTACTTCTAACTCTTTTTGAACCCTCCAGCAGCCTTTTTAATGATATAAAGTGTGACCACATCTTTGAACTTCAGTACAGGGGCACCCAATTGCCAGGATGCTGTGTGCTCCCTATCTCTGGAGTGTTTCTGGTACTGAACTTTGTGGCTAATGCAATGAGTATACATGCAATCAGAAATGCTATGAGTTGTATGCTGACTGTTCTGTGCATTCACATTAGCTGATCACTGATCTTCAGGAGGGTTCCATACACAAATGTTCAGTCTGGCACGTGGCATTGTACCCTTCTCTTGGTAGGTCAATGGCAGATGACCCTATAGTCAGCAAAGCCTCTTCTCACTGCCCTTTCTTCCCACCCAGGCTTTACTGTAACAGAAGATGATGGGATCAAGACCCAGCTGTATAAGCTAACTGCTGGCGTCAGCTTTTCCTACTTCAACCCTCCCTGGAAAATCTTTCTGCGCAAAGAGGTAAGGTTTGTTAGCTGAGCCCTGGCTGTAGGGGGAGGGCAATGATCCCATGTTTGGTTAAAATCACTTTCTGTCACATGTAACCAGAGTGATGTAACAGCACAGAGATAGTTTGGAGAGGAGATCACATCACACGTGAGCTGGGAGTTATGAGCTCATCTGATGGTCAAGGAATTCCAGGTCCTACTCTGCCTTACTCATGAGTCTCAGTTTTCCTGTCCTTCCCTTCCTCACTAAAGCATGAAGATATTGACAAAGTAAATCTCTTGTAACCTGGAGCTCTCCTATATAAACAGTACAAATGTATGTAAAATCTTGTGTGCTGAGCTGACCCCAGCTCATCCCATGATCTCACCACTTCACTTTTGATCCTTCACTCCTGCTCACATTTGGTCATTTTGCTCACATTCCCTCTCTCCCTTCCCTGCCCAGACATGGAGATTCAATCCTGGCAGGAGGAATATGGATTACAATACACCTCTATTTCTGCTACAGTTGTAAACATATGTAACATCATTCTTGTTTTTATCTTCCTCTTGCAGGTGTTTTACCCCAAAGAAAACTTCAGTCACCCTTATTGTCTGAACTTGCTGTGTGAACAGGTAATGTATGACTCAGGGTTGTGTCTGTTTGGAGACTCCATAATTGCATTGCATGATTACATCACACACGTTCACTTTTGCATCCTTAGAGATATTAGTCCTTTCTCTAGGTCTGTCTAGTCAATGCCCAGCTCTTTTCTCTCTGAGACTCAGCCTTTTTTAACAGCCCCAGCACACCCAGTGGCAGCCTTTTCAAAGAAGCTTCTCTATTTTCTTCCTCTGCAGATCATACGTGACACCTTCTCTGATTCCTGCCTTCGCATTTCCAAAGAGGAGAAGCGCAAGATGAAAGACCTGCTGGGTAATGAGCAGCCCTGTCCCTTCCATGCACCCGTCGCAGCATCCAGCTGCAAAGGAGGAAAAGTTTTCTGTGCCCTTCTGGGCAGGACTTAGGACAGAGGAGAATTGTCACTGCAGCAAGAGAGAACACTGTGTGTGCTGTGCAGTGCGCTGTAGGGATGGTTGTCTCTTCCAAATGCATAGAAAATGGCTCTGAAATCTCTCTAAGCCAGAAGAACTTAATTATGATATGTATCTTTTTGGTGGAGAGGAAACTGAGGCCCAGGGATTGGGTTTTGGGTTGTCTCAAAATCCAGCTGTGTTTGACATGAGCTTGATGGAGGTGGGTGGGAAAAAACTTGGTGGTAGGTTTGTATGTGCATGTTACATTGGTTCTAAGCACTGTGGTGTCCTTTCAGCCCTGTGTGCTCTTTGCTGCCCTATGGTCACTGGGTGGGGACGGCAGGGACAAGGTCCCTGCGCAGAGGGAGGCATTACCATCTCTGCTTTGCTGTATCCCTCCTAGCGGCGTTGCAGGTTGGCAACGATGCTCAGTCCATTCAGGAGGATGGGATAAAGAAGAGGATCGTGGTGGCCGCTCGGGATAATTGGGCTAACTATTTCTCCCGCCTTTTCCCAGTTCAAGTGAGTCTTAATCATTTCAGCAGACCCCAGAGTTGCTGTGGCTGCATGACTCTGGTTCACCTGGGATGTCTCTTTGTGCCCTGCCTTTCTCTCCTTCATCTGCCCCACTCCACTCGATTTCCTGCACTTTCTGTACATTTCTCCTCTTTCTCCTCGCATGCACATTTACATCCTTTGGTGCCCTAACCATTTCTCTGTTTCCTAGGCCACCTGCTTAGCTGCAGTCACTGCTGGCCTTGTCCCCCATTTCTCCCACCTGCCTCTCTGCATCCTCACACTCCTGCTCTTCTGTCTCCCTTTCCTCACCATCTTTGTTTTCCAAACACCTTTGAGAATGTTGTTAGGTCTGGCACCTCTGTCAGCCGTGGACCTCCTTCACTGCACGTGGTGCTCTTTCCCCATCCTGCCTGGCTGGGAAGGAGCCTTTTAGTGCTCACTGCTGCTCTTCTTTCACAGGGTGAAAATGGAAGTGATGTCCAGATCCTGGGTGTTTCACACCGAGGCCTGAGGCTGCTGAAAGTGGTGAAAGCAGCTGCTTATGCTCCTGAGCACCTGAAGGCCCTGTGCAGCTACAGGTGAGCAGTAGGATGATGTGGGCAGACTGACAGGGTGAGCTGAGTGTTTCTCTGGTTGTTCCATGTCTAAGGTTGTCCAAGATCTGTGGTGACCCACTGACCCTCCCTCAAATGACTTCACTCTTTCCCTTTCCTTTCTACCTTGCACTTTGCCTTTAATGAGTGCTGGGAACCAAGCTCCCATCCCATGATCTGCATCCCCTCGCTCCATCAGAAGCATTCTGAATGTGCTGGCTGTGTTCTCAGCTTTGCAGATGTGCTTTCGGTGGAGCTGAAGGACAGCAACTCCCTGGAGTTCTCTCTGAAGACAGAGCAGCTCTTACTGCACTCTCACAAGGCTCCGTGCATCAAAGCCATGGTGGAACTCTTCATCCAGGAGCTGAGGCAGGTGAGGAAGCAGCTGCAGAGCAGCCGTCAGTGAAGGTGTTTTCCTATATAGACCTGCAGGTTCCATGGGGTGGTGTAGTCTGAGTCTCTCCCATTCTGGGGACAAGATTTGACCTCTCCACTGCTTTTTCCACAGGATACCAACTACGTTGTTGCTCTGCGCAGCTATGTCACAGATGACAAGAGCCTCCTCAGCTTCAAGAAGGGTGACCTGATCCAGCTCCTGCCCATGCAAGGCTTGGAGCCAGGTGAGGGGATATGTTCAAACTGGATGGGAAAGGTGGGGGTTGTGTTGAAGGGCCTGCTGGACCTATGGAGCCCAGAAGCACTACATGCTACTGCTGAGTAAACCAGAAGAAAGCGAGCTGTTAAGGGCTGGCTTTGTCAACCTTCAGCTCTGGTGTTCTCTGACTGTGACTTTCCTTCTATCACAGATATAGGGGATGTTCTCTACAGCTCCCTGAAGGGAGGTGGTAGTGAGGTGGGGTTCAGCCTCTTTTCCCTGGTAATGGTGATAGGATGAGAGGCGATGGCCTCAGGTTGTACCAGGGGAGGTTCAAGCTGGATAATAGGAAAAATTTCTTCTCTGAGAGGGTGGTGAGGTACTGGCACAGGCTGTCCAGAGAGTGGCAGAGTCCCAGTGCCTGGAGGTGTCCAAGAACCATGTAGATGTGGCACTGGGGAACATGGTTAGTAGTATGGTTGGAATGAGCTGGGGTTGGGCTTGGTGATCTAAGAGCTCTTTTCAAGCCTATTCAGGGGCTGATGCTGTCCTTTGCCAGTAGGAGGCCTTACTGCTTGGTTCTGTTTGCACTTGCTGTGGTTCCCGACTCTCTCCCATTTCTTCAGGCTGGCAGTTTGGTTCCACCGGTGGCCGCTCTGGTATTTTCCCTACCAACCTAGTGCAATTGGCTGCAGCCCCTGATTACCTCAGCACCAGCATGGACAGACATGGAGGGCTGCAAAAGAGCATGAAAGTTTCCTTTGATGGCAGGAACACCAACAGGGAGGTGAGTTGTCCTTGGAAAACTGCTAGAGGATCTGGCTGTGTTCTGTAGGACCTGCCAGCATAGGTTCTGGTAGTGTCTGACCACTGTGGCTAAGGAGGAAGAAGATTGCTTAATTCTTGGAGACAAAGGTGCTCAAATACCACTGGGGGTATTTGGGGAGGGATGGCATCACAAACAGATGAGAACTTTCCAGGTATAGCAGAAGGAAATACACACTGAACTCCTCAGCTGACCTTTCAGGGTGAGTTTGGTGCATGTCCCTGCAGGCCTCTGTTCCCAGCCTGACATCAGAGCCCTCCAGCATCACATCAGTCCCTGCTGGTGATCATTACACCATGATGGACTTCGCCGCTGCCTATTTCCGAGAGGCTCAGTACATGTGAGTAGACTGTGCTCTCCCTCAGCAGGCATACACTGGATGTGTGTAGCCTGGCACTCACCAAGACATTTCTGGGGGTATTTCTTGGATTGGCTCATGTTCTCTTCATCTGGTTAGGATGGAATTGAAGGGGACACCTGCTGAAAAGAAGACTATAGCTGACATGGTCCAGTACACCAAGGTGAGCCCATGCTTTCCCCATGGCAACAGCCAGAACCCCAGCTCTAGCACTGCCTCTAGTTTTGCTCTGACACGGCAAAGACAGAGGACAGATTTTTGGCTGCACTATGCAGAGGAGTAGGTGACCCCTACTTATCAATGCTGCCTGCAAGATACTGAGAGCTATTGTCATCTGTGAAGCCTACAGCACAGCTCTGTGCTGGTCTGCTCCCTCAGCTCACCCTTGTGTTCGGGCCCTGCAGGTTCCAATCAAGGAGTCTTTGCTCCGGTACTCTGATAGCGAACTGAATGAGCTTGCAACAAAGAGCTTCATGAGTAAGTGCCCCCCAAGGACAAAATGGGCTTCAGTGCGGATGAATGGGATGCTCTTGGTGGCTATACATAGACAACAGTGAATGGAAATAAGAGGGCACTTCCTAATCCACTTCTGCTGTTAGTAACTACCACTGTCATTGCTGAAAGCATCCAACAAAATGCTCTTTGCCTTGAGTACAAAATGTCCAAGAACCCACAATGTCTGGGCTCACGAACCACTTGTCCAATGCTGCCTAGTAATGGCCTGTGGAGAAGAAAGGCCTTTGGGACATTTTCTAGCCCCATGGTAGGATCACCTCTGCTTACACCCAAGTATTATCCTTTGCTTTGCAGCTCTGATGCGGTTCATGGGAGATCAGCCAAAACTCAGGAACCAGGATGATGCTCAGTGCGTCTATGAAATTCTTCAGGTCTGTGACTTTTACCTGGGCAAACTGCTGCAGCACCAGGGGGAATGAGATCCTAAGGCCTTTCAGGAAAGGGAGAACAGGGAAAGCCATAACGCAGAGCCCTGTGTGAGGAAAGGAACTGAAAGAGGCCAATTAAAAAGCACATGGAAGAGGGTGTGTATCTATTTGCACTTGTAAATGCTTTTCTTAGGATTGCAGTCTGGATGAGAATACAACCTGTCTTCTTCTTTGGGCCTATATAACTCTACAGAGCAGAGGTTGTGAAGCCTGAGCTTAAAGCCATATTTGGAGTCTGGGATTTCCTGGCAAAACTCAAGAGATGGGAGAGGAAGGGCATGGAGATGAGCTGGAACCTCTCTGATGTTCTCTTCTCCTCCTTGATGCCGTTTTCTCCTCTTTGAATGCAGCTGTGCAAGGAGAAGGAGAATTTGCATGACGAAGTTTACTGCCAGGTCATCAAACAGGTCACTCTCAACCCCAACCAGTGAGTAGCAGCATGGTTGGTTCCCATTCATGCATGGCTGAAGGGGATCTGTGTGCCCTGCTGTGCACGGGGTGCTGGGAGGGCACCATTTCATGGTGTGTTGTCCCAGCTGCTCAGCTGCCTTTACTGTCCCTTTCTTTGTTACTCAAACAGCTGGGTCAATGCCTTCCTCAGCATAAGAACACAGATCAAGGGTCACTACCTCATGTTCACTGCCACCTCCTGTTGGCGTGCAGAAGGGCAGAGGCTCACTTTCAGCTGGGTGGAGCAGGAATTGTCTCATTCCACAGTTCTTTCTGTCCCACAGGGAGAGCGTGCTGCGGGGTTGGCTGCTCCTCAATCTGCTCACTGGGTTCTTCCTCCCTTCTAACATCCTGATGCCCTATGCCACCAAGTTTCTGCAGCAAGCCAGCAGTGACCCATCCAGCACCCACCACGGTACGGCTGTGTCTGTGTCCTGTGAAACAAATGGCTGCCCTGGGTTTACTAAGGCCCAGTTGTCAAGGAAAGAAGGAAGGATCCAGATGGGCACACAATCTCCTCATTCTTTTCCTAGCATTGGCGTTGGATTAAATACAATGCAGCCAGGAAGACTCAAAACTATAGGAGTCAATGCTTAGCTCTCAGCCCATGAAGCTTTTTCTCTTTTCCTACAGAAATAGCCAGGATTTGTCAGAGCAACCTGCGGAAAAATTTCATGTATGGAGGCCGTCGCCACCTTCCTTTCCCTGTGGAGATGGAGGCACTGCTGGTATTGATGGGCAGGGGGATTGGGATGCTGGGAAGGGAGAGAGAGCAGGGGCTTGGCAGCAGGTGCTGTGTGAAAGAGGTGGGTAGCAGGGCTGCTTAGTGTTCCAGCAGAGGGAATCAGGCATGTGTCTGTAAGGGAGATGTAAATGAGATGCCATGGAGTGGGTAGGGAAGGGTCAAGAATGGAAGGCTGAGATGAGGAGGAGGAAAGAAGGAGAAAGGATTACGGGGTTGATGGGCTCCTGTGTGCTACTGTGTGTCACTGTGTGCCACTGTGTGCCACTGTGTGCCACTGTCCTTTGCAGAAGGGACGCAGTGCCCGCCGGCTGGAGGTGCTGATGTTTGGAGGTGTGGAATATGTCACCCGCATCAGGACATTCACTGTGAGTTTTCTGCTTTGCATTTCTCCTTTGGTTTGGTCTCAGAGCCACACCAGGGAACTCCCATATTTGTCAGACCTTTGGTCTGTGCTTCCTACAGTGCTCTGGTGGTTTCCCACATCCTTCCCAGGAATCCCTGCAGCAGCCTGGAATGCCATATCCAGCCTGTTTCTCTGTGCTTTGGCCAGAGCTGTACTGCTGCCCTCCACCTGTTCTGGGGCTGAGTTGAGCTTTCCTGGCTGCAGTATTTACTTGCTTCTTTCCTCACTTCAGGTGGCCAGGGAGCTCTTGCAAGAGATCTGTGAGCAGATGGGGGCAGGCGAGCAGGAAGAGATGCAGGAATTTGCTCTTTTTGCCATCAGGAGCACCAGTGATAAAAAAGGCAAGTAAAGACAGAGTAGCTCTAGCTTCTTCCCTAAAGCATTTTCTCCAGTAGGGACTGTTTCAAATAATTTCCCAATTCTTGCTGGCTCTGGGGATCTTCAGCAGTTAACCTCTGTTAGAGATGGTGCCTTCTCGGGGCTTGAATCGCTCTTTCCTGAAAGTGGTGCATGTCTGCATGGAGGCTGTGTCCCTTTGGGATGGCTGATGCTGGGAGTTGTTAAGGGCAGGGTGAAACAGAGGTGTGCAGGATGGCTCCTTGCAAGACTACGGAGCTCAACCCGCTGTCTCAGCACCAAGAGTGATGACTCTTTCTCTGCATAAATACGTAGATAAAGTTGTGAGGCCAATAAGAATGGAGGAATACCTTCATGACTACTTGCTCGAAGACATGTTGGTCACTGTGAGTTTACGCAGGCTCACCTGGAAGATACCTCTGCACTTTGAGGACAAAATCTATACTGACATCCATTATGGCCAGGTAAGCAATGAAGATGGTGGGAGCACTTAATGTGAGGGCCAGTGCGGATGTTCCAAGACAGCTGAAGAAGTGGGAGGGCTGACTGGCTCTGGATGCTGTTTCTGGGCATGACTAATAAGTGATGCTTAGTGAGGACCTAGTCTATGGGCTGTAATGATCCAGACGTGGTTTGTGCACAATTTTCCCAAATGCAACAAGCCTTTGCTTTAAAGTGATCAGTATGAGCTCTCTGCAAGGCAGGACGTGGGTCTCTACAGTCTTGCACTGCCCGGACTTGCCTGGACCTCTTTCTGGTGCTTTCAGATACAATGGGACTACCTGACAGGGAAGATACTGCTGAGCTACAGTAAAGAACTGGAGATGCAACTGGGTGTTTTGGTTATGCTCCAGCACTGGGCCAAAACAGAGCAGGAGAGCTCTGCTCCCTCCAGGTATGCTTATTTCAGGGAGGGTCTCTGTTGGCACCATGTGGGTTAAGAGTAGATGATTCTCTGGATAATGAAGGAATGGAAAGTCCCGGAGAAGATAAGTCATTAGTTAACATCACTCAGTGACTGACTTCTGCCTGTAACCAAGACAGTTTACTTCCCATTCACAATCCTGATGGTGACCATCTCTGACTCACAGTTCCTTTCATGACTCCTCCTGAGCTCAGAGCCATGAGGGTGCCACATATATTTCTTTAGGCCATGTGGTACCAAGAAGAAAGTGTATGAGCTTACAGCTGTACTTGTAACTGAGATGGAGATAATGGAGGTAATACCTCCATCAAATCCCCTTACAGCTCCAGCAGCAGGAGTAATGGTGTAACTGCTGGGTGTGGGGAACTCTGCTCTGTGTAGTGTTTACAGCAGAGGATCAAGTGACATGTTTTTCAGAAACACCCTGTGAAAGAAACACTCTGTAACTCTACTTCCATGCTACAGTTCTTGCATGAAGAGCTCTTGCTGTCTCCAGGAAGGAGGGACTTCCTATAGTGTACTAGGCAGCTTTCTTCTCTGTGGAAATATGATGTCTCACCATCTCTGATGTATTCTCCCACATCATTCAATTTCGATATGACCTGTTGTGCTCTTCCCTCTTTCTCCACCTTTGCCCCCAGCTCTGTTCTGAAAATTGTTGGCACATCCCCTCTTTCTAACAGCTCTTGGTTGATATTTTGATTTTGACCAGGCAGGGAGTCAATTAGTCTCTACTTTTTGGCACAGGGAAGAGCTGAAGGAATACATACCAAAGTCCTTGCAGTCCCAAATCAGCACTGAGACTCTGCAGAACCATCTTGACAGGCTGCTGCGAACCATGCAGCCACTCCGGCCAGTGGATGCAAAAATCCAGTTCATAGGTGAGGAGATGTGAGATCTGCCTGGGTACTCCACTCTGAGAGTGATGGAAGCTGCTCCGTGGGGCTGGCAAAGATCTCTGGAGTTTGGGATGGTCCATGATATGTAACTCCCTGACAGCCTTCCTCTGCAGACTGGCACAAGCTTCCAAGCACGACAGTCATAGTACAAATCCCACCTCATGGTAAAAGTCTGCAGAAGACTCTCCTAGTCCTGTATGAGTTGTGCTTTAATTGATATTCTGGCTGCATGTCTGTTTGCTGCTCTGAAAAGAATGGAACGTGCATTGAGGCTGCTGGCACTTGAATACCAGGAGCCTAAGGATGGTGGGAGAAATTGTGAATTGCACTTTTTAATGTAGGAAGACTTGGGAACACCTGAAGCTTTTGACCACCTTAGGCTGGTGCAGGGTGCAGTAGATTACGGGCTGGGAGCTGCTGCCTGAACACCAGCTTTTGTTTTCTTACAGACCATGTGATGAAACAGCTGTTCTTTGGCTACAACATCTTCTTGGTGGAGAAAGTCAGTAACAGCACAATCCCTGTGCCCTGTTACTTTGGTGTGAATAAAGAACAGATCATTGTGGTGGACAGCATCACCCAGGTATGCCAGACAATTCCTCCCTTGTGTCCAAATCCCTGAAATCTTTCAGGTATTAGCTTTGACTTTTAGAAGAACACGTGTTCAGGAAGAGACTGTGTCTATATGCATCACAACCAGTCACTCTAACAACCCTAAGCTGAGAGTTAGGGAGTAATGTAACAGTTGCTATTGCCATGTGCTCTTTTGCAAGTCTACAGGTCAGGCAAACAAGCACAGTCCGTGGTAAAACTAAGTGTAGGCCACATTCCTATTTGTCCCAGTCCAGAAGGAGCTCTAAGGACACAGCAGTAGTAGAGCCAAGCAATTACTGTGACCTGGTCTATGTCTCAGCTTTCAAGAGATGTATCCTCCTTGGCCAGAATCAGATGCTTTTTTTTCTGAAGTGACTGCACCAGAGTGCTCTGTGGCTTTGTTCCCTCACACAGGAGCTCTGCCACATCATCCCATTGAAAGAGCTGCAGAGGATGAGAACCCTGCGCCCCACCTCCGAGCAGGGGCTTCCTGGCATAGAACTGAACTATGGCTCTGCTGCCAACCCCAAGACTCTATGGATTGAGCTATCCCAGGTGAGACATCAGCCTTGAACTACAGCTTCCTCCTGGCTGTTCAGAAATTGCCCTCCACTGTCCCACTGAGCCTCCAAGAGACACTACTGCTCTCTTCTGTCCCAGGGGTGAATGGGGACACTGCATTTCCCCATTCCCAAAGTGCAGCTCAGTCTCAGCACCTGCTTGCTATTTAACTTTGGGAAGTAATTTATGGGAAGATGCTTAATTATGGGAATATTTAGTTATGAGAAGCAGTCATTTCCAGAGTAAAGAATGACTGGTACTGCTTTGTGTTTTGACAGGCTAAAGAGATGTATCACACAACTGTTTTCATCCTGGATAAAACAGATTTTCAGCACTAGAGTTTGAGGAGAATGCCTCCCCAAAACATCCATGATCTCGGCTGCTTCTACAACTGCTACCAAGTGATGGCATGTTTCCTGATGGACTGGACTGTAAAGTCACACTTGGTGGCCTACCATTCAGTCTAAGTCTTCTTTCTTGAAGCAATACTTGCACTGTTTGAACAAACCACAAGGCACCCTCTCTATTCCATTGCTTTTTTGTAGCTTGTTCCAATATAGCACCTCAAGAAACGCAAGTAACTGCCTTCAAGCTATGCACTGTGGGACTGTTTTTTTTTCTCTTTTTGAATTAATGAACATAAGAAAGCAAAGCCAAGGCTATCAATTGACTGCACTGGCTGCTGCTGTTTTCCACAGACCAGCTTTTTCTCTGTATTGATATGCAAGAGGCCCTGTAGCAGGGTTTGTGAAGCAGAAGCTTGTAAACAGCATCACAACTGCAAAGCAGATCAGTGTTCATATACAATTGCCACATATTATATACAATTGCTTGGGCACAGATTGAGCTGCAGTGGTAAGAAGGTCTATTGTTAATTTCTCACTGACACAATTATATGCGTATTTTTCCTTCTGCTATACAGAACTCAATTGTATCCATGCAGCTGTCAAATTATGGCTCCATGCCCCTGAAGAAAGTGTATTCAAGTGGAAATTGTATTACAGTAGAGGAGAGTGTCCTGGATTGTATAAAACCACTTAATTTATTTTTATTTCTATAGCTATCCTATTGGACTAACAAGTATCTTCATTTTTAGGGGATTTATAATGAAATAATTGTATAATGGATATTTTGAAGCTATAAGATGACAGATATTGCTTTACCTCTGATACGGGATGATTGACCTGCAGGTAAATGTAAAAACTTGAGGAAAAGGTTCTAACTGTTGGCTGGGGAGCGGATCTGGGGTTGCTCAATGCAGGCCATGATGCACAGCTGGCTGCTTGCTGCTGATGCCAGCACCAACCACAGCACTTTCCTGTCAGGAACTTCCATGCTGAAGCTGAACCTTCTCTCTTTACCAACACAAGGCTTGGTGAACAGCAATATGAAATAAAGAACTAGAGAACATCTCTGGAGAGTAACTCATCCTTACTTTTTTCTCTTTCTGAGCTTTTCCAGCCTTACACAAAAGCACAGCTCACTTGAAGAACTGCCCCGCACTGCGATTCAGCTCTATGCCACACAGCCACGTGTCCTTTTGGAAGTCCTCTGATTTACAATTCACACAAAACATTTCTGAAAAGCTCATGCAGCCAGGCAGCAGCTGAACTCTGTAGCACTGATCTTTGCAGATAGCAACTCCACTTAAGTGGCTGATAAAACAGGATTTTTAATAGGAAGGTGAAGCAGAGGCCAGCAGGCAACAGCTAAAAAAAATAGTTGTATCATTTATCAGTTTCTTGTAAACCCTTTCATCTTTCATCTGAGTAGAGCAAGCTGAAGATAAATGACTTGAGATACACATTTCCAGGTTCTTCTCCTTCTGGTTCTGAGCTTGAAGTATCCTGCAGCTACCAGGGCAGGAGGTGTCTGCTGCTACACACTTCCCACCCATCCCATACCTCACCTTCATTCATCAGTTGCCTGTTCAGACAGAGTTTCTACATCTAAGTTCACAATCTTAATGTACCTGAGATACGATAAGTCAAAAAAATCTTTCAAGAGAAGTCCACAGCTGCTAGAACATTGTTTTATTGTTAGTTCCGCACATACCCTTCAGCACATAAAAATAATAATCCGTTGAGTACAGTGATTCAAAAGTCTGTTTCATGGCTTCTCAGGCTGCAGATTTCTCTAGCAGTACTAGTGCCTGAGGCCACCAGCCTCTGTAAGCATGGAAAAAAAGCAGAACCCAACTAAAACCCAACAGAAAGAACTTGTGCTAGGACATCAGGTTATTTCAAGCCCACTGATACCCTACAGTTCAGGTCTTTATATAAATATAGCAGCAGAGGCACCACAGTGTCAACCTGAGAGCCACAGCAGTACATTAACCAGTAGTAACAGCAGCATTGCCCTCTGTACTGCGGGCTGTGGGCGAGGCACAGGGAACAGATATGGCTTTAGGGATTACAAGCAAATGCTGGAAAAGCATTGGCAACCTTAATGCCACTGCTGGAGAGGTTAACACTGAGAGATCAACACCACTGAAGTTTAAAGGGCAGGCAGAACTAGACACTGTTAAAAAGAAATTAACTTAGGATTAAAACAAACAAAAAAAAAATCTGAATTTCTATACCTTCAGAAAGTCAGCATTGCCTGCAGGGTAAAAACAAAACACTCCCTTGCTGCCTTCCAAGGAAAAACGTTCCATCCAGAACTCAACCACCAAGTTCAGCATTAGCAGCCCTGAGAAAAAGCACGTGAACTCGTTTGTAGCATAAGGCTTCTATTGGTAACACTTAAATAAGGACTAAGAGATGGGGGAGCAAGGAGAGGAGCCATCCAAAACACAGTCCCAGTTGGAAAGCATAATACCATCCCATACTGCTGCAGGGAACGCTGGTTGGAGGCACTGCAAAACATCTGAGGCAGCAGCCTCTAACCTACACAGGAGAAGGAGACGTTGTGCCTCTTGGCAAGAGGTACTGTAGGGCCTTAGTTCCCTGGTTTTTGGAGAAACACTCCCTAAATTCACAGAAACTGGTTTCCTGGAAATGCGTGTTGCTAAGGTGACACTGTAGATAGAAGAGAGCAAAAATGCAGTGGGAAAAAGACTCACTTCTGCATTTTCTTGAAATGCTCCATGGCTAAATTCCTCAACATCGCCTGGTCCCACTGCTGGAAGAAGGAAGAGGGCCAGCAAGATGCAACGATCATCCCTCCAAGCAGTGCAGCTCCTGCCAGTCTGTTTCACTCTCACATCTGACTCGCGTTTTGAAAAACTCCTTAATGAGTCTCTGTGCTTCTTCCTTCACTGCAAGAGAAGAAGCACCCCCTTTGACATGATACTTAGACATGTGCCCCTGTTGCAGACATCACTTCATTGAGCATCCAAATAAACATTAGCTGTGGTCTCAACAGCTGCCAACTCACCGGTCTTGCGAGCAGGATTCTGATCTTCAGTCAGTAAGTGAGACAGGTGCCGAGCAAAGCCCTTAAACAGGTCCTGCAGGGATGGGGAGGATAAAGAGCAGAAAGGAGACATTAATAATTTCACCAGACTTATTTCTGCATTTGTTCTGCCCTTAGCATAGACTAGGCTGTAGCACAAAGCATCCACAGACTTATACTGATGTATACTACAGGACTGCTACAAGCCTGCAAACTCACCTGACCCTGTGGTGCTGGAGGAGCACATGCACACACATGCTGCCTTGTAGAATACATCATGTAAACCAGACCAAAACTCAACTTCATCTGCTGCCACTCCATAGCAAGAGTTCCTAAAATCTTGCTAATGTTTAGTATGAAAACATGAGCAATAACAAGTGCAGAACTGACAAGATACCACTTTAAATTACACACAAATCTTTTCTTGCAAGAGAGGAATTGCTGCACCTAGCCACCAAAAGAGCACACACAAAGACATGACCTGGAATTGAAACGTAGTACCATTATCATATTTCCCTCCTCAGAGTCCCAGATCACTAGGGAGATACAGTCTCCTTCTGCTACAGAAGTTGTTGAGCTGTACCTACCTTGGAAGCAAATTTGCCACCCTTGTAGAATGGGGTCAAATATTTAACAACAATGTCTGCTGTCTCTTTGAGGGACACGCTTTTGGTCACAGGCTGTATAGCCTTGCTGGCTCCTTCTTTATCACTCTGCAGTAAGTTTGGATCAAAAGTCACCTTCTTCTTTGTCAGACCCACGCTTTTGCTTTCTGGCTGGGACAGAATAGAAGATTTTGCTGCTGTCCGCAGCCGCTTTGTTGCAGGACTTTCTGTATCCTGGAGATGGGACAGGAGAAAACCAAAGTCACTAAATTCCTGCATCAGTATTCTGAGAAAATGAATCTTTGCAGCATCCTGCAGGCTCTTCCTATGTGAATACCATGCAAGGAGTCTATGCAACTCCTTCTTGGGGACATCAAGCTCTGCAGACATAATATACTTTCTTAGACTGGCTTTGAAAACACCCTTTAAGGCTACTACCTATTTCTTTGTGCTCTTATTAAGGCAGTTAATTGCAAGACCCTGTTTCATACAAGAAAGGCTGGCAGGAAAAGATTCCCTGGGATGTTTGCTGAGATTACATCCCTCAGGAAGAATCAGCCTCTTCAGAAGTGCCACAGCCCTGTTCAACAACAAAAAAGCAAGAAGAAAACAGCACTGTTCATTACAGAAAGCTCCTAGGCAGTCCTGGATGCCAAAACAAGAAGCAGAAACCGACTGTCAAGAAAGGCTGTGTGCATGATTCACTTCTGAGTAGTCCCATGGGCCATTGAGATGTGGTTGTTCCCAAAACTTAACAAAGCAACTTTCTAAATATAGTTAGTTACAGATCTAGAAAGGGTGGAGAGTTTCATTCCAGGCAAGTTATCAGCAAAAGGTACAGTCACAGAAAAGATGAAACAAAGCAGAATGGAGCAGAAGCTTTCCACTGCAGTCTGAACTGCTGGCATTGGTTCTGGGGGCAGCAGGGTGACACCAATAGGCAGCTTATCAGTGGTTTTCCTCTCTTCTGTAACTGTAGCTGGGCCATTCCAGGTAAATAATGCTAGGTGAAGATCAGACCAGGAACATCACTCCAAGTGAGAACCTTGGCACAAGGTGAGCAGAAATAGTCAAAATCAGCATACACTAAAGTCTTACCTCATCTGATCCTTGTCGCTTCCCACTCTGACCTTCCCCAGCAACAGCTTGTTCAGTTTCTGTGACACTTTCGGCAACACTAATGGAAAGAGTGGAAAGAAGGACAATTTTCAGTGGCCATGAGATTCTTCATGGTAAAGCAGGAAGTTCCCTCACCAGCCTATATATCTAGTATGGATTCCCAATTTCCAAGACAAGGCTGGCAGGGCCCTGCAGCTAACTAACAGGGCAACACAGAGAGGAGAGAGGTGGAGATTTTACCTTGATACA